TGACTCTGAAGATGACTTCCGCTCAGGTTGTCGAAACGTCAGTCACCAACAACAGTTCTTTTCAGAGCTACACTCACCCGGACGATCACACTATACGATCTACTGATACTCCTGGGTTCAAACCATTTACTGTGTTACAGAGTACCAACTCTAAAACAGCAAATAAGCTGTCACTGACAATCTGCAAAATCTCTAACATCAGCCATTTTAAATTTCAGCCTTAAGCAGTACCAGGTGCTCATGGGAAAGCCCTCACTAACCCCTTTCCCTCACCCAAGGCATAAAGGCCCTTCTGCAAAATGATCTTAACCTAATAAAGGTGCTCTTGAAAGACTAGACAATGATTCAATTATTACTGTATTACTAATTATTATTTTTGTATCTTCTCTTAATTTTCTTGTCGCACAAGCTGCAAGAAGCATTTGCATCGCATAACATAATTAAACTGAGGTGAAGATGCCTTGCAACATTTTTGTTGCATTAAAATTAGAGTAGCTGTTTATTGCAGTTATCAGACGTTTGATGTACAAACATTAATCCGTTCACCTCATTTGCTTGCCTTTTTAAACAAAATGAATATTTGACCGCAGACTCAACTGTAATAACAGCTTTTGAGTTCTACTTTTTGGACCAATGATGATGGCAACCCTGAAACAAAATTAGGCCAAATACTGTAGTCCGGTAAACTTGAAGACTGAAGCAACCTGTTAAGAATTGTATTATTATTTGTGTTAAAGAAAATTAGCATTTCAAATTGTTCAGTATTAAATTATAAATGGCAACCTGTTACCCATTTTGTATGCGAAAAATAAATCGTCCAAGTACATGTTGAATATAAATACATACTTAGATTAGAGTTCCAAATTTGACTAGATTAATTTGTTCATGCTTTTTGTAAATCATCCTGTAGAACTCTGAACACAAGCTGCCAAAATTAGTCTGAATGTAAATTTCAGTCTAGAAAACAATTTCAACAATTTTAGACTTGATTAACAGGGGATAAATTGTCACTATAACTTATGCCTTATGCGTGCCAAGAGAAAATAATATTTCTCTTGGCGTGCCAAGGCACAACAAGGACACTGGATGACTTACACCAAACTTGCCTACATCATTTTCAATTTATTGCCCACTAGGTCGATACATTTAAACAATACTATTTGTTTAGGTCTGTTGCGGATATTACCGTAAAATTTCAATATTTATTTCACAGGTATAGTCTTGAAATGTTGCATAAGTTTTCAACCTGTAGATCTGCAGTTTGTAACCTTACAAAAAGGACCCCACAAAAAAACTACAATTTTAATGTTTTTTTCGTTTTTTCGTTTTTTGGTTTTTTTATTTAAAATACTGCATGATAATTCTCGTTCAGTAACACACAGATTTCCACTGATTTTTAGCCGCTAAAGAGCTGGCCATATCCTATTTTGTGAATGTATTTGTTCAGCCAAATATCTCTAGTTAATAAAATTCTTTCACACTTTGACGCTGCAGGGTAGGTTGTATGACATTTGCAGACTGCAGACAACATTTTCAGCCTACGCAGCGCTACAGTTAGCCCAAATATCTCTCAGGTTAGCCTTAGTAGCGCTGAGGTTAATCGGGTTACGGTTAGCTCTCGGTAATGGATACGGGAATACGATATTGGCTAAAAGGTCTGCAGTCTGCAATGATGCAAACCAGATCGTACACGTATTTCTCGACGCTTGACCATACTTTGTTGCAAGAGCTTGTCTTATATTCGGTTAAGCATATTAGCAGCGTGGTTATAACGCCCAAAGAAATACGATATAAACTTACCTGCAAACCCTTGGAGGAAAATCGGCAAGGTATTCGCACACAAGACTCAAAGCTTTCCTCTGTGCTTGGTTTGTTTTGATTTTGTAATCGGTTCAAAGTTCATTTTTAACCGCGCGGGACTGTGACGGAGGAGATGTTTCATTGGGCATACATGAAGACCTGGTGGAGCGGTGGCAAATCTGAAACATGCCTGTCTGTGTGTTGTGTGAAGGAGAAAGTTTTGATTGTACAGACGGACTTTATTATTGTCAGAGCTGCGGAACACAGTCCCAGGTAAGTCATCGTGTTAAGCGCTATTGAGGTCTCGGTTTTTTTCCAATTTTCAGAGGCCCATGGGTCAATCTTTGCATACGGTACTTGTTTTTGTTTGGTGTCTGATTTTAGGACGTCAGAGATGAACAAGTCGCTGCAGAGGATGTAGAGGTGAATGTCCGTTTGCAGGTAGCACAACAGAGAAAACGAGGACCACCGAAACAATTCTGTAAGTTACTGAAACTTTGGTTCATTGGTGTAAACCAAATTTCTTGGAAAACTATAAATGGAAAGTTAAATGCCAGTGCAGTTGAACCAACAATCCCCAGCAAACTTTAAACCCAACTCACATCGAAACCCCAATGTAATTATAATGTAATAGTGCAGGCACTGCTCGGAAATAATAGTAGTTAACACCCTGGTTAATGTCAGTTTGGTAGATAGACAATAAGAGAAAGGTGAAGCAGTCGATAACAAAAGCTGGCCAACAGGAAACTTTGTGCGGGTACTTTTAATTAAGCCATATTATGGTATAACTAATTTCAAATGTGGCAAATGTCCTGAATTTCATTTCAAATGTATGAAGTATGTATGGCAAGAATAAGTTATTGATTACATTACAGTGAAACCTGTATTAAGTGGACCCCATATTACAGACAGTGCCTACTTTTGTTAGTGCGCACACGTTCTGCACATCACCCAAGGCATGGTTTAAGTGTCGCGCACGCGCTGGGTTGACAATGACACAATCAACTACGCAACCAAGTACACAACTAAAATGAAAGCCAAATTTTCCAACTGTGACCAAATCAAGTTTAATGAACCTGTACTTAAACCAGGAACACCAGAATAGCAGCATATTGCTAACCACTAACTGTGAACGTCTTCCAGCTGAAAAAATGGCTGTTATCTTTTGAAAATTATACTGAAATCCACTTGTAAATATGTACCTGCATATGGCACAGTGCGCGCGCAAAACAAGTGCGAGATATGCAAATGTTTTACTTACTGGGAAGGTAACAGGAAAAAATGTAACGGGCACTGTAAAAGTACTTTTCAAAAAAGATCAATGACTTTAAAAAACGTGTGGTTACCCCTACATTTTATGTTATGAAATGGAAGTGGCAAGCCTATTCAACACGTGATTAGTTTCTGGTTGTGAGTAAAAGGTATTTAGACTGTAGTTAGCTGAACCAGAGGAAGGCTGTTAGAGATGCTAAAAGTGCTGTTGCAACAATTTTGTTATTAAAAACATACCAAAAATGGTTTTTATGTTACCATTTGTCATTTAGTTTTAAGATCTTTATAAATGTGTTTGCTTTTCTTTATGTAAAGGCAAATTCTAAGGAAATCTGTGAGGAATATTTATTTCTTCTTTTTTCAGAAAAATGCTGATGTCAGCATTTTTATTGAGATTCAAGGCTAATTATCTCAAAAAAATGCATGGCTACCCCAATTTTTCTTTGTTGATTCCAATAGCCCTTGCAAAGATCTGCTTCTTCATGTGGTCCTAACCTGGCGTAAAAACCTTGTCTATATTTAGTAGGCACCGTCGTTAAGGGGACACCCTCTATTAAGTGGACACCAGCTGAAGTTCCAAAATTTTCTTCCCACATTTATCCTAAAATAAATCTGCATTCAGCGGGCGCCTCTGTTCAGCACACAAAGACACCAATATTAAGCCATTTTGTTGCACAAAACCTGCAATAAGCGGACACTTCAAGGCTTTCTACTCCTTCTAAAGGCTCAGCTGAGACTCCTTTAACAATGTTCAGCAATGTTGTTCTAAAGCTAAGTGATAATTTCAGATTGATGCATTGATTGACTGGACATTGTACTATGCTACATATAGTCTTTGATCTTACACTTTGTTACACTGTGTTACAATTAAGTTAATAATTAACTATTATTGTACAACACTTTTTAGAGCGGACACCCTGTATTAAGTGGACACTAGTGAGGGTACCAAGGGTGTCCACTTAATGAAGGTTTCACTGTAATACTATTCAAGACCTAAATTATATAATTAATTTACAATAAGTTAATGAGATAGTTTATTGAATATTTTGATAATTAATTCAATATTTAGATAACTACAGTCAAACTTCGATTATCCAGACTCATTGGGACTAGACGAAATACAGTGTAGTCCAGATAATCGAGGGTCGGGATAATAAAAAATATGAATATTAATGAAGAACTGTTTAAATAAAGCAACATTTAATCATGAAAAAACACTTTAACAAATCGTGTGGAAAACTATATGGTCCACTGTATATCTTGAACCACTTCACCCTGAGCCAATCAGAACTCATTCAAGTATTTTTCATTAGTTACGATGCATGTGAGTGCTGCTTTTGCTCTTTAAAAGTGAAACAAACTCACTTTTGACTGCAATTTTCAATGCTTTAGTTGTAAAAAGAATTTTGCTATGGATCTTGATCATGACTAATAAATATTCATGACAAAATTGGGACTAGAAAAAAGTCTGGATAATCAAGAAATCCAGATAATTGAGGTATGGATAATCGAGGTTCGACTGTAACTGATAAATTAGATTTTTACATGGTTGAGAACAGTTTTATTTTCTCAATGCAAATTTAACAGTTGGAGACAAAGGCAAGCCATGGTTTATGTATGAAGCATTTCAGTTTATCATCAAAGCTCAAGTCGAATATCTCATCAACCTTGGAGTTGACCCAGCGTTGAAGGTATCTCATTCTTCAGTGGCTACCACATTTTGCAGTGTGGGTTGTGCTTTAAGGATACAAATGTAATGATAGGTTCATTGTTAAATGTTAGCGTATCAGATTCTGAACGGAAAAGTCTCTGGCCAAGTTTATTGTGTTGTTTTTGAACAACACTCTTTTAATTGTACATTATCTCTCTTTAATCTAGGAGTGATGGAGTTGATTTTACTTGAGTATAGAGTAATAATTTACACTTGCTTTGTTTTTGATTTACTACCCTTACTGATCGAGTTGGCACTTAGAAAACTCAGGCTAACTTCTCATTCAGTCAGAAGTTAAACCAAGACCAATGGTGACTCACTCCCATATGTTTTCCCAAGCTTGCTGCCAGCAACATGTACATGTATACATGTATTTGCTCCATGTTTTCATTGGTTTGTGGGGTTGTCTGTGTCCTTTGTGATTGGCCAGAGTAGTTACTTTGATTGGTTTCATGACACTCAGTTGAAAACTGTTTCTATCCAGTGAGTACAGTTAACCCTGTGATGGAAGACTTGCATGCCATCCAGGGGGGAGTAGAAATACTCTGACTTAGTTGCTTCATGTCTCAGAAAGTGGGATTAGCTGTGGTGGTATCTGGGACCACTTAGCCTGTTATGGAATTTTCTCACTAGACCTATATGCTTGCTCATAATGTGCTCTTTCAAAACTATTTGTGTCTTTAGGATGTTGTTTTCAAGCTGTGGTACAAGTACTTACAGGTGACAGGCACTGCCTTTACAGGTTCTCGTGAAGGTACTCTGCCGACTAAAGGATCTATTTTCTACTGTCGTGATGCCGAGCTGTTGGGCGTAAATAAAAGAAAGAAGAGTGGTAAAAAAAATAAGGTGGATGATGATGATGAAAACGATGATGAATTAGAACTATGCTCACATTTCAGTGATGAGGAATTTTATGAAGGTATTATCACGTTTTTATGATCATACCGTATAATATTTAGTGAGTCATCCATGCATGTGAATGGCAGGTTATCTGATAACAGCTTAAAATATTCAATGAAAAAAATCCTGATAAAGTAATTTGCCTAGGAACCTTTGCATTTTTTCTGTATTAGTCACATGACCATGGGCGTGGTCTGATGGCATCATCACTAGTGTCACTGACCCTGAAAAGGTTAAAACATGAAATAACTCTGAACTAAGTAAAAATGATGAGGCTATATGAGAATAAATTTTCCTTAGCAACAGCTCAAAAAGATCAGTTAATGGGCCCTCAAGAATTTACAATTGCCTAAAATAGTACCTGGAAATGTGCAGCTACCATTTGCTTGTAGCTCACTGAAGATTTAGCACCATAATCACAGATGGGTGCGTTGGCAAATGCAAAAGTTCTCAAAACATTTTAGGTAAGAGGGGGGTGGGGCATGGGGTGTGAGAGTGTGGGAAGGACAAAAAAAAATCACCCTCTAGATGTTCTAGTTTTATAACTTGTATTCATGTTAAATGTTTCTGCATTTCTGCGTGTAACATATTGATTTCTTCATGTAACACATTGTCAGTAGTAGTAATTGGATCAAGTGGAGTATACTGCATTAAGGAGTAATTGCAATTTCAAAATCGGACAGGTGCGAAGTGCGAGGCCAATTTGAAATTATGAGCACAATAATACTCCCTGAATTGTATGACACGATGTCCAATTACTAATTAACCATATATATGTTGTGGTTTAATTTTTTTTTAGTTTAAATTTTTAAAACTAGTATAAATTTTTCAGACTGGGTTGAATATTTTTGCAAACCAGATAGAAATTTTCAAACCAGTTTATTTATCAACCATCTAAAAAGGGAAAATATCTCTTTACTTCTACACTGTATCCTCCTCTATCCTATTCTCACTGGGTTCCTCCCAATTTATTGTATCTCCCAGCTACCGTACCCCCTCCCCCTCAATTCCCCATTAAGCGTGAATACTAATTAACAGCAGGTCTTACCTTTTTTTTCTTTTTATCTCATATTCACGGGGATTTGAACCGCCAACCTCTAGATCTGCTTCCCACTGTCATTACCACTTGACCACAAAAGCATCATCATTCCAATTAAGTGATAAGCTCATCATTCCAATTTAGTGCTTGTTTGAAAATTAAACTGGTTTGAAAATTTCAACCAAGTTTGAAAAATATGAACCAGTTTGAAAAATTTAAAAATTTAAAAATTTAAACGAAAATAAATTTAAACCATAACATCTATAACAAAGTTCGGAATTAAAACTGTCTTTTGAGAACTTCTTTAAACAGGAATGCCTGATGGCACTTTTCATAAGTTTTGAAAATTTTAGGAAACATTGCTTAGGAAGCCATTAAGGCATTCATACATGTAATTGAAGTGCAAATCACATGGGTGTCTAATTACAAAAAGTTCAGATTGGATACCTGTAATTGGACACCCACATGATTGCCTGCCAATTATGTGACAAGTAGGCATGCAGAGAACCAATCATGATCGAGAATTTTGTTATAGGTACAATTAGTAGTAGTTAAGAAACTAAGGTAGCTTGTGTAATGATCAAGTACTTCAGGTTTTTATCAGTTTTTTAACTGTCCTGCTTTTTGTTATCAGATGATGACCCTTTGAATGTTCCATCAAAAGATAACAGTGATGCTGATGACATAAATCGTGGTGATGACTGGACTGCATTTTCTGAGAAAAACCATAAAACAACTGAAGACATTCCTGCGAGTGAAGACAGCTCAGATAGCAGTGAGGATGAATTTGTCGGTTCACTGACATTAAATCAACCCAAGGGAACGAAGGTTGAGAGTGGTCATGTAACTCTTCAGACCACACTAGCATTCTGTTATCTTGGCTTGCTTTGGATAAATGAACCAGTTTTTGTCAGTGACTTGGTGAGGTAGGTGTGGAAGTGCAATAGTTTGTACAAGTAGGACAAACTTTGCTGCAGGTATTGTATGTAACAACTTGAATTCCAGTTTGCCCTTAGGACGAGCACTGTATCTCTCAAGTATTGCTTGCCCAAGTCTTAGTTTGCTCTTTTAATGATTAGGTGGTAGATGACTTGATCCCTTGCCCATCAGGCAAGTGAAAATGAAAAGGTACTTGCCCTGAAGGAGAATCTACTTGTCCCAGACGATCGCACCTCACTTTTTTTGAGCCCTGTAACATCTTGTATATTGATATTGACTTTGTAAAACAACAGAATGATACAATTACGGTTCCAGAAGGAGTTGTCTTACAAAATGCAGGTATACTAAGTTAAAAGGGAAATTAATTAATCAAACATGTCCAACCAATCATGGTGCCTGAAATCGAGCATTGTGATTGGTTTACTCTTTGGCGTCTCCTTGTGACTGTGTATATGTTACTAGATCGTATCAGTCTGTACTTCTGATTATGACTCCCTGAGTCAGTCCCTGAGTTTGACTCTATTGCTAGAGAAAACCAACCCTAGGCAATACTCTACTCATTGAGTACTGGCAAAGTGTTTTCCAGGAATACAGCACAGGCTTGAATGTTGCCTTCCAATGCACCAATGCACTGTAATTTGTAACACTTTGTACAGCCCATCCAAACACACTCAGTGGGTATGTGGGTATCTTTTATTCCAGGTGGGCTAAACAGAGTCAGCTTCCATACTTCCAGGCAACCAGACATATTCCTCAGCACATGAAGTTTGGAAGTGGTGATTTCAGTTGCTTGTGTCCCCTAAGGTTAGTATTTATATTGTACATGTAGGTCGGATGAAGATGAAAGTTTGTTTTGTTTCCAGTTCTTGGAATCAGATTAACTAGCTGGCTTTTCAGTGCTAAGACTTTGTTGTATTCCTTTACACCTTCACCAGTAGTCATTTATAGTCCTGGGTTTGCATAGCCCAAAATTTGGATTGTCTCCCATGTTTTGTTTTTCTCTCCACCTTTTCACATTTTTCTATGCCTCTCAATTACTGTAATGATTACATTTAAACAAAACTACATACAAATTTGGTCTTTATCATTAACTGGTACGGTTAAATTACTTTCCATTCTCCTCTATTTATCATTCACTCAACTATTTGTTTGTATCTTGTTTTATGTTTGTGTGTGTGTGTTTTTTTTTTCTTTTTTTCTTCTCTTTGATTCCTAGGTAAAGCTTTTTTTGCTATCCACTCAGCTTGTTTAGTTTTCTTAGTGTTCTGTAGTGAGTAGTTTTTTTTTTTTGTTTTGTTTTTTTTTTGGTTTTTGTTGTTGTTGTTGTTGTTGTTGTTGTTTTTGTTTTGTTTTTTGCCTTATTACATTATTTAATTGTTTTTATTGTTTTTTTCCTAAATCTGGCAAAAAAAATGGTTGGTTGGTTGTTGTTGTTGTTGTATTTAGCACCTCGCTCACTGATTTACTTTTGTAGCTCAAGGGAGGATGCGTATTTCTTCTTGAACTTGTTCTTCTGAATGTGTTGTTTACAATACTTAAATGAAAAACAACCTCGGATACTTTAACTTAAGAACTGTAGCAATAGGGGCTCTGATAGTGGTAACCTTCAATAATTTATTAGGTCTTGAAGAGAAGCAGACTTCGCAATTCATTCGTCTACTACATGTTGTGAATGTCACTTTTGTTATAAGGATGCTTATTGGTAGACGAGGGTGCTTATTGAAATATTAGGGGCATTTAATTAGAAGGGGTCACTAACAGCTGCATTAACGCAAGGACGCTTATTAAAGAAACGACCACACTCAATGGGGAGCGAAAGAGGGTCCTTATTGGAAGGAGGGCGCTAAATCGCATCATTGTGGTTCATCCCTTATACTTGGTCTAATAATTTTCTTTTCAGTGTACCCCCTGTATCAAAGATTCTTACACTGGCAAAGCGGATTTCCAGATTACTGCAGCTTCCGCAATTTCCAGAACCCAAGTGGTCCACGTACACTGCGCGTTTTATCATAGATCTGCATCTCCCAGGTAATAACGGCAATATGGGGTAGCAAGAGACTGTGAACTAAGAGAACACGTACCCCATACATAGACCTCTTCCAATGAAAATCTTTTTCAATCTAATTTTAGCGCATGGTCATAGTGCGAGGCTGTTTTAGGAAAGATACCTGATTGGTCAATTTATATGGCGTAATTTCATCAAAGGTGTGGTTCAATAGTTGATCAAATATCAAAAAAAAACACTTGCACCTGGATTTTCGGAGCGCAATTCGTAAGGAAAGGAGAAGAAAATTTTAATTGTCCGGCGCATTGAACGAGCGTTCAAAAGAGATCTTTGACGCTTTAATGCGGAGAAAATTACTCTTTTTCGAGGTAAACATCGGATAAGCACCTAGAAGATAATTTTCCTGCCCTCTCTGGTTCCAAACGGTGCAATGCTTAGTGTCGGAGAATCAGCTCTTTTCGCCAAACTCTGGTAAATATTGCACGGCACTTTCGAATTTAAATATGCAAAAATTTGCACCGGTATTTTTGGAGCGAAAGTTCTTACAAACAGGAAACAAATATTGAAGCTGTTTTGCGCTTTGAGAAACCTTTCGCTTCATTCCGTTCAATACTTTACTAGAAACGACTTTCGAGCGAGTTAGAATGCAAGTCTTGGCGCTTTGTGTTAATCATTCATGCAGGGGAATGATACGACTTCTATTTTAACTTCGGAGAAGCACGTATAAGATCATTTTCCTGCCCAGCGTTTTGAAAATGCTTTCCGATC